TTTGAACACCCCTCTTGTAACTTGACAGCTTTAAGACTTGCGTGCTTCAAATGCCAGAGTTTCTGAGTCAACATTTTGGTTGCTAAGCAAGAGCGTTGTTAAGTGAGGTTCACCACATTTTACAAGTTGGCAATGCCACCCAGTCACATGGCCAGCAGGCCACTCCCACCCGGTCACATGGCCAGCAAGCCACTCAAGGTTCTAAAAATTTTTGAAATCCACCACATTCTGCCTATAAATATTCTATATATAAATTATGGACTTTTGTCCCATTTCAGATACGTTCATGTAAGCTTGTGCTTACCAAAAGATGCAACATGTTTACAGTTTACAGTGATACACAAATAAGGGCTATATAGATTATTTTGTCATATTTTCTTTCTCTCTTTTTTTAATCAGTCTCTCCAATGTTTCCCAAAGCAAGCCAGATTATTATACCAGATTTTACAAGAGGCATAAATGACAGGATTCTTTTTATCATACAGACTACTTTCAAGCCTGACAGGTGGAATAGAAAAGTTGATGCTGTTATTATTGTAATGTTTGTATTAACTGCTTTAAAAGTTTGTTTTCTTGAAAAAAGTATATACATATTTAACATGAATAGATAAAAAAACCATTACAAACTACCCTGGGATATAAAGTATGCATTTGCCTTCTAAGTCATCACAGAAACTAGATTAGTTTTGGAATTTAGTTGTTGTTTGACTGAGTTATATTCTATTATCACTCATAAGCACAAAGCTAATTGTAGGTGCAAAAATTATGCTGAAGCAGATTCCATATTAAATGACTTTTCAAAAGTCAAAATAACAATAGAAGCGAAATTTCAACAGAAATCTGTCATTCTGGGTTTGGTCAACAACAGAAGCTTTTTTTTAATATATCAGGAACTAAAATCATTCTCTGAAACATATTATTAGATATTCCTATGCCCAAACCTACCAATAGGAGCAGTATACTCTTCTTCAGCTACTATCCATGCATCACGGGCAGCTACAGAACTGGTCCCTATTGCAGCACTGGTAATAGCTTCACCAACCGTAAACTGTAATTCAATTTGTTTGGCCTGAGAAACACACAACAACATTAAATTTCAGTTCACTCACTATCAAAACCAGTTGCATTTTCTAGGCAAGAAACCTGCTACATTTATTACAAAGAAGTAAATTATAGTATACGTCATTACACATTCTACCATGGAATTTTCAGCTGATTTGAAAAATCATTCCTGCATTTAAATCAAAATTAAGTCACAAGTCAAAATTAATTTCAAGTCTCATAACATTATTTTCATCCATTTCCCAACTAAAAGTTGAAAGGTACCATGATATTTATTTTCAGTCATCAACCCATAGGGACACTCCAAAGCCACAAAATTCTCCAGGCATTCAAGTTAGGTTAGCCTTGTTCATGGTTTTATGGTGATTGGATCATTTCATCGGGGAATCATGGGTTTTAATGCTGGTTTTTAAAATTTGTATCTTGGCCAGAGTCATAGGGCCATCATATAAATAAATTGAAAGAGCTCACACTTCAATTTTAACCAATTAGATGCTGATTCCACCCATCCACTCCCTCCCATTTCAAATGGGATGAAAGGCATATGTGAACAAAACTGCAGCACAAAGGAGGAAATCATTTCAATGATTACGAAAGAATGGATTGATCAGTTCTTTGAAAGGGCACACAAGGCCTGGACATTTTTTCTTCTGCGTATCAGGAAATGTAGAAGCATAGGAGGTTATACAAAAACTTCTTGTTCAAGGTAGCAATACTTCCTGACTGTAGCGCAACTGTGAAAAATAATTATGCATTGAGTGCAATTAGTGTTGTTTTCCTAAATTTGACACTTTTTTTCAACATTTACAAACATTTATAACCGCGGGGAAATAATGGAACAAAAAAAATATTTGAGGATACAGTTTAAGAAATTGGCATGAATTAATAAAAGCAACCCTTTCTTCACATATATATTCTAAGAGGACAATTAAATAATTACCTCTACAGAATCCATTAATCCTTGCAAGAGTAGCTTCTGATGAGGAAAATCTCCATCCCCTACTGGAAAGTAGCCCAGTGTTTGAATAGCTCTTTCTTTCATCTTAAAAATATCATGAGGGGTGGAGGAGGAAGAGTAAGAGTGAGAAAGAGTGTTATTTTAAAATCTACTAGATTAAAATGGGAAAACCAAAACACTTCCCCATCAGGAAAAAAACCAGATGAGCTTAATAAATTAATACCACGATTAACATCAGACCAACAATCAAGAAATAAACAATACCCTAGTCAAAGAACTGCCAAACCAGCTAACAGTAAATAGCCCAACCAAAAAGAACTGACCAAGATTACTCCCACCAACACTGATACAGTAAGCCACTAGAACAAGGATGTCAAGCTCACATTGTCACGGTGGCATCACATGACATATCGGGACTTTTTCCCCCTCTGCTAAACCGGGCATAAGCGTGGCAGTGCATTACGCATCCAGCCCACAAGCCAGAAGTTTGACAACCCTGCACTAGAATATAAGTGAAAGCAATTCCCATTCCTTTCTAGTACTGATAAAGCTACCTAGTTTGGGCAGTGAAATGTCTACAAGAAAACAATAGAGCTCAAAGATCTTTTACTCATAGGAGAATTGTAACAATGTTGCAAAACATTACCTTATTAGTTTCTTTGCCAGAGGGAATTCTGGCCAGTAAACTTTCAACAAGATGGAGTTTTGTAAAACCACTGCCTTCGTTGGGGATGGGCAAAGGTGCATTCCTGCCAATTTCCCCCAGTGCTGTACATGCAGCTATTGCTAGAAGTGGTGATGTACTATCCAAAAAAGAACCTAGTGAAAGGTAGAAAGATTACTTGGTATTTTTCCCTTTAAAATCCAGCAGATTGTATCCTGAAGGAACAGCCTCTAAGATGGTCTTAGCCCATAAGTGACTAGGGCAGGACTTGAACTCATGGTCTGTTTCTAGCCTTATGCCTATATCAGGCCAAACTTAAAACAGTTAATAACTTTTGCATTCTTCTGAACACATGCCTCAAGTGGGAGAAGTATATTTTTCAGAGAAAATGAATACTCGCAGAAATTCCCAGCATTTGTACCAACAAAAAATACCGTATTTTTCAGATTATAAGACACACCGGAGTATAAGACGCACCAAGATTTTGAAGAGGCAATTTTTAAAAAAAATATTTTTTGCACTCTGCAGACCTCCCAAAAATGGCCCGTTTTTTGGGGAAACGGGCTTGTTTTTTTTTTCAAATAAAAGGGCACAAATAGCCTTTAGGAGGCTTGTAGAGTGCTCCGGGGGGGGGGTGAGTCCCCCCCAAAACAAGCAAAAAGGGGCATGCATAGCCTTTAGGAGGCTTATAGCGTGCTCCTGGGGTCTGGGGGGGCGGGGAATTGAGCAAAAAACAGTCCGTTGTCGCTCATGTCTGCCCTCCCCAGCCCCCAGGAGCATCCTATAAACCTCCAAAAGGCTATGCACAGCCATTTTGGTGAAGGGGTAGGGTTTCGGGAGGCAAAAAATGCTGTATTCAGTGTATAAGATGCACCCAGATTTTCAGCCTCTTTTTTGAGAGAAAAGGGTGCGTCTTATACTCTGAAAAATACGGTAAGTTTTGCAACATGCAGAGCAACGTATTTGAGTACAGTTCAAGATTATTACTTATAAAATCTCAAAGATACTTTATTCTAATATGCATAATCCTAGTTCATTTAAATTTTATATTCAGTCACACTACATTTTATCTCATTATCTATTTCAAGACAGAATCTTCAGTGCTAATTAAATAGCAGCCCATTATGTGGCTTTATTTGCCAGTGGCTCATGCTCAGATAACACTAATATATTTTTAATGCCAGGTACATTACTTGCAACTAGTTAAATCTGTTTTCATATGATTTGTGAATCAAATATCACATCATTAAACAATGAAATGAGAGAAGTTTGAGATTACTATTATGTTATATGAGTTTTATGACAAAGACTTCAAGTAAGAGATAGGTAAAGCAGCACAATGGGCCAAAAGTTATTTCATTTTTCAAAACCAACGAAATGGGCCAAGAATACAGGGAAAGTGCAAACGTGCAGACTGACCTATAGTTTCTGTTGTTGATTTTATCAGCTGGTCTTGTTCCGGTGTTACAATGGTATTTCGGTCTTCTATACCATGTAGTTCTATTATTTTCATTTTTCTTTTTGACAAATACCGTCCTACTGTGAACCCCAGAGCCAATAATGATCCATGTTGCATTTCCAGATTCTGCAGTGAAAAGAATGACAATCCAAAAACAAGTTAACAATTCATTAAGATATATCTATATATGTGTGCATATGTGTGTACATGAGTATTTAAAACATTTTGAACAGCCTTCTTATATTTAAAGATAATAGTGTGAGTTTTAATAGCCTAAAATTAAAATAGTATATCCATGCATATTGATTATTTTCCCCTCTACTTATAAACATGCTATATAGCTTCTTAGAAAAATCAATGCTTTCATTCTGATGAAAGTGATTTTTTTCTAAGCTACTGCCATATATATGCACTAACTAAAAGCAAAGATTTTTTTCCTCAGACAAGGACTTCACATTATATACAACTGTATTTGAACTGAATCACTCATTTAATTAACCAATTTTAGTCATAACTATTGACCTCTTCCAGTTTTTTGATATTCGTAAAAAAACTCTTCACTCGTAATTTAGTTCAATATTCCTTAAACAGAAAAGGGCATTTAAGATACATAATATACTATTATACTTTCATTCATAAAAGTGGTGTGGAGTAAAAACAAAAATATTACATGATTGTCCTTTGCTGTTTTTATCAGGTGCTGAACAGATGTTTTGAATTCATTTTCTGACACTGTCGAAAGTACAACTGAATAAAATAGAGCAGCCAGTTCCCGCATTTCTTCCTTATTAGTATTCATAAGATTCTGAAAACAATATAAAGGAATACAATATGTTAAAAATAGATAATACCCTACTAGCCTTTAAATAATAAAAAGACTGATCCAATTAAATCCAAGTTTTCTGTGGGGAATGGCTAAACAGCATCTTCTTTAAAGAATATTTAACTGAAGAGGAAGGAGAACAATGATACTTAGAATTCTGCACCGGTTTTGCTTTTTAACACCATTAGCAATAGCAATTAAATGGAGAGCTTTATAACCCTCTCTAAGTGGTTTACAATCAGCATATTGCCCCCAACAATCTGGGTCCTCAGTTTACCGACCTTGGAAGGATGGAAAGCTGAGTCAACCTTCAGCTGGGCAGAATCGAACTCCTGGCAGTGAGTAGCTTGCAATACTGCATTCTAACCACTGTGTCACCACAGCTTTTTGCAATACTATGTGCAATGCAGCGAAACTAGACTAGGGACAGGAATTCAAACATTCACTACAAAACCACAATCTATTAATTATCACATTATTTTTGGTGCTTTAATAGAAATTCTGACTAATGTTGCCTCTGAATCTTTATTTCTGATAATGACATTCTTAACAGAAGTTGTTATTTTCCTGTCACTGATTTTTTCTTTAAAATCTTATTGTAAAGATATCCTTATGACTTATCTATAGAGGCCTATATAATTCACTGAGAAACATCACATTTAAAAGTATGTGGATAACAATGATGCCATATTGGCTTCCATGAAATTACTTTTAACAGATTAGGAGCTACTGAGATACATACTTTTAATCCTATCACAATCATTCCGTACTTGGGTATGGGGGAAAAAATCTGTTCTACTGGAATGATGTGCAAAATTTTGGAATAAAATCATCTCTTTCTTTAGCATACCTTTATCCAATCCATCTTGTCTATAAATCTTGCAGCCAGCTTTTCAGGATAGACTGAAACAACTTCCAGCAAACAGTACATGACTGGCAAACCTATATTTTTTAAAAAGTTCTCAAATTATTAAAATGACCAAAATTTGAACAGAAATTATTATATGCTATGTAAATGAATTTGCTAATGAAATCACCATGAAATGCTAAACTTGCTAAATGAAATCACCATGCATACAAATATGATTCACTGTCTTCATAATAGGCATGCCAAAATTATTCGGAACAAATATTTACATTCACTTTACCATGTAACCTAATAATATTATGAGATATATTTTGCATTGACCGACTGCATGTACGTCATAATGGGTGGGATGCAGACGATAATACATTGTCTTGCGAAGCTGTTTCTGGAGTAGAAATTTAGCTTGCACAGTAAAAGGGATCCTTGTTGCGCTTATAGTTTACTTGTAAAAACATACCTAAATTGATGAGTGGAGACTTTATTTGCAGCAGGAAATGCTGCATGTGGCATAGTTACAACTAAAGCTAGTAATATAACCTAAAAATATCCTCTATCTTACTAAAAAGCTCAATTGGCCAAAGTTACAATAGGTGTTAAGAGGTCAGTATCTATGGGATTCCCCTTCATGGATTACTGCCTTGTCGTGGCGAAGGGGCTTGCGTAGCTCAATGAAGCTATGAGCTATGCCATGCAGGGCCACCCAAGACAGACAGGTCATAGAAGAGAGCTCTGACAAAACGTGATCCAATGGAAAAGGAAATGGCAACCCACTCCAGTATCTTTACCATGAAAACTCTACGGACAGTAACAAAAGGCAAAAAGGCCTGGAGGAACATTGTCCATGGGATTGCGAAGGGTCGGACATGACTTTACAACTAACAACAATTTATGGGATCAGGTACTGAGGGGATGTATTTCCTTTATTCTTTTCTAATGTTAAGTTTCTTTTGTTATTTCTTACTATTTTCCCCTGCATTCTGAATGTTGTTGTTGAAAAGGAATTGCTTAATGGGTTTGTATGGATGGATGTCAAAAAATTTCTGGCCAAAGAAACCTGCATCTAAAAAGTGTCATCTCATCAGGAAACTTGAGAATTGAAATATAAGATGAAGATATTCAAAAATGAAATCCAGGATTCTCTACAAAAATCTTAACAATATTCAATATGTTAATATTGGAATATATATTTGAACCATAAGGGGCTCTACAGATAGTCCTCGACTTACAACCATTTGTTTAATGATCATTCAAAGTTACAACAGTGACAGTTGAAAACAGTGACTTGTGACCAGTTCTTGCACTTACAACCAGTTCAGCATCCCCACGCTCATATGATCACACTTTAGGTACTTGGCAACTGGCATATACTGTATTTACAGTGGTTGCAGCATCCCAGGGTCATGTGATCACTTTACCACCTGGGTTCTGACAAGCAAAGTCAATGGGATAAGCTGGATTTGCTTGCTTAACAGCCATGTGATTCGTTTAACAACTGCAATGATTTGCGTAACATTAGTGGCAACGAAGCTTGTAAAATCAGGCACAAATCACAACAACCACCTTGCTTAGCAATGTAAATTCTGATCCAATTGTGATCGTAAGTCGAGGACTTAGCTGTACAACATATGTTGACCCACACAGCAATCGGCATTGTGCATGCATAGTATTTTGTTAATAAATGTTATGACATAGAGATGCAACAAAAACTTGTGTGCTATTGTGGAATTTCAAGGCCACAACATATTCTATGTTACTAACATTTTGGATGCACTAGCAAATCATTCCTGGAAAAAAAAAAGCTACCGTAGCCAATCCAAGCTCATCTCATCATTCATAACAGATACTTCAGTTCAGGCAATGAGAATGAAACACATTCCAAGACTAAGTGGCGCATCTATCTATAGAGCCCAAAACATCTCAAAGTCAAATTTATTTGATTTTGAGATTGACT